CCCCAAAACCCCAAAACCCCAAAACCCCAAAACCCCTTGGGATTTGAAATATTTTGAAAGTAATATTTAAAAATTATTCAAGATGAAAGATAATAAGATTGAATTTGGCACATTTTTACAGGATCCTCATTCGAAAGAGTCACAAAAGAAGCTGAAGAAGCATATAAAGGAAAGGTTTTCACATCATAGAAGCGGGAGTCAAGGTAGGGATCCGCTGTTAGGAGTTGATGATGAGCCAATCAGCTCATATGTTCCTCAAACAATGACATTCCAACACCGCTCAGATAAATCTATGAAAAATCCTCAATTTTATGCACCAATGCAGTATCAGAATAGAAGTGCTGAGGGTGAAAAATTAGATTTTACTGCTAAAAAGGATCCTGATAATAAGGCGCACAGTGCAAGAGAAGATAAAAATATTTCTCAAAATCTTGGTCCTTACACAATGATGAAAGAGGACTATAAAATTACAACAAAGCTAGGAGTTCCTCACAAATAAGCTTGAAACAGTAGAAACTAATGAGCATGAAGAGAGTGAAAAGGAAAAAGAAACTGAAGATCAAAAATATACTGAATTAGATATCAACGAAGGTAGCGAAGATGAACAAAACGATAGTGAAGAATACCCTTCTTATTACAAAAATAGGCCTCGTCATTCCCATGCTCACAGCTTAATAGACCCTAATTTAAAACATAGTCACATCTCTAATCTCGGCAGTGGACTCCGTATCAACAAAAACCATACATCCCAATACGCCAACCTCGAAATCCCCCAAAACGCATCAGCCTCCACAAAATGGAAGAAAAAATTCCAAAAGTTAAAATAAACAGTATAAGCTAAAATGAATGGAATTTGAAGAATCCCTCGCTTATTTAGATATTGAGGGCGAACAGAATAAGGTAGGTTTTTGAGTGGGAAGTTTAGATATTGGAGAATAAAACAGTAGAGTTACAGCAGAGAGTGGAGAATGAGATAAGGATGATTAAGGAGGAGTGAGAGGATATTATAATGGAGAGAGAGGGGTTGCATAAGGAGGAGATTGAGTTGGTGCAGATGGAGGTGGCAGAGAAGGATGTGGAGATTGAGAGGTTGCAGGGGGCTTACGAAAATCTCGAAGAAGAAATGCAGCAATTCATAAAATAACTTCAACCGTGATCTCTCTAACAAAGAAGAAGAATTCGAGTCTTACACTAAAGATATCGCTCGCAAGAGCGATATCGTCCTCCAAAACAAACTCGACAAAATAGTCGAACTAGAACGGAAGATCAACAAAATGAGGCTTGAGCATCAAGACGAGATCAGTATGCTGAAAGAACAAGTTGAGAAGACTCAGAGTAAATACCGAGATATGCTCAAAGAGAAAGAACGAGAACTCAATAAGACTGGCGCTAGCGTAGAAGGCTTCAAACACAAGAAGGATCTAGAGATGAGAGTCTCACTGCTAGAGAAAGAGGTTGATAAGAAGACTAGAGAATGCAGCAGACTCAAGGAAGAGATAGAAGGATTTAATGAGATAATAAGAGGAAAGGAGTATTATTTTAAATGTGCGAAGGATAATCAGGAGTATATTACAAACAAAACTAAAGATGAAGTTCAAAGCTTGAGAAAATTATTGATAGAGGAGCAAAGTAAGAATAAAGATTATAAAGCAACTTTGCAGCAGAAAGAGTTCTTTGAGGAGCAATATGAATTACTTAAGAATGAATTAATGAAAGAGAAATCTAATGATTCAGAGCTTAGGTTAGGCTCTAAGGTTCGAGAACTACAGCGTCAAGTGACTGATATGCAGCTACTGTTAGATTCCAAAGACTCAAATATAAGCCAGTTGGAATCTCGCCTAAAGAAGTATGATACTGAGTTTGCATCAGGTACTCTCATATCTAAAGACCCTCGATACAGGGGCTCAGTGCAAGATAGTATGGTTGCCAGTACTACCTTTGACAGGCAAGCTTCAAGGTGAACTTCTAAAGCTGAGCTTGATTGGCTGAAGAAGGATAGAGAGGTCTATGAGATCAAGGTCAAGCTGAAGGACCAGGAGATGCATATACAGAGACTGGAAGGTCAGCTTGCCAAGCACCTGGAAATTATGAAGAAGAGTAATATGAGGTATGTTTATTCTTAGTGAAGAGAAAAGATAATGAAGTTAATAATTATTGGTATTTTAATGATTTGACATAGTTTGGTGATTTGGTAGGAATTAAGAATTTCAATATCACTATGAGAGATCGGGGTTTTGGGGTTTTGGGGTTTTGGGGTTTTGGGGTTTTGGGGTTTTGGGG